CAAGCGAGGGATCTCAGTAGCGTCAGGGAACTGATGACGCCAAGCGTCCGTCAGGCGGCCGAAGCAGCGCTGGGTGGAGTGCGGACCCCCACACTGCTCACCCGTGCAGTCGCCTGTACGTAGAACGTAGGTACAGGGGCCAGCACCCCCACCCCGCTGACGAGCAGTGTACCAGTCACGAAGTTGCTGGGGGGAAGGGGTCTCACGAGTGCGCTGCTGCTGCTGGCGCTGCCCACCACTGGATCCGGCCCTCTGCGAAGAGCCGCCCCAACCAGCTCCACCTCCGCCGCCGCTACCTCCACCATCGCCTCCACCTCCACCACCTCCGCTCGCACCGCCACCACCGCCGCCTCCTCCGCCTCCACTGCCGCCACTAGTGCCCCCACTCCCGCCACCACTCCCACCGCCACCCTAACCCCCTCCGCCGCCTCCACCGCCGCCTCCAACGCCCCCGCCAGCTCCTTTAGCGCCCTTGCCCTCCTTGCCCTTGCCTGAGCGGCGTCTCCCGCTAGGGGCAGACGCCGCGCCGACCGACTCAAGACCAACGAGGTCGGCCGCAGCAGAAGAGGCAATAGAGGGCAAGAGGGGGGAGGGGGAGCACCCCTCAAAGACAGGGGTACGAGGGTCACCACGAGAGGCTCCTACAGTGACTATACTCTTTTTTGCTGCTAGGAGGCGCTCCTCGAGGAGGTCAACGGTGGGGGTGGTGGGGCAAACAGAGAGGAAGTGGTCCCTGACCAAGCGAAGGGTGTCAGGGAGCCGGGTGACTATGTAGTAGAGGGTGATGTACATAGGGGGGGGGTTCTTGGCGCAGAACTCAGCAGGAAGCGCAGCGCGGTAGCGAATGTCACTAGTGCGAAGGTGCGTAATGAGGTCAGCGACTGTGGGAAAAGCGGCGAGGTCAGGGAAGAGGTACGGCAGTATGAGGCGGCTAAGGGCAGCAGTGGCAAGGGAAGAGTAGCGTGCAAGGACAGCGTCGTACAAGGTCTTAGCACTCTTTTACTGACTAAAATGCGCGCGCTCAGTGGTCGGTAAGTCGCGACGCACAGCAAGGCGAGCAGCAGCATCGCGCGTGGCTCATTGTGAGCGAACAGTGGCCTCAGCATCAGCAGTAGGGGCAGGAGAGGCACCAGAGGTGAGGTCAAATAGAGAGAGACCGTCTGCCCTATCGCACTGTAGGAAAAGCTGCAGATCATCTACCCAGACCTCAAAGTCAACAGCCCGACCCTCAGCGTCAAAGGTGAGAACACTGGGGGTGGCCATGACAGCAGTAGACTGGCAGAGAGAGCAGCGGGGTAGGTCAGTGCAGTGGCAGAGGCGCTGCTCTTACCAGGCAGGTGGGGCGGGCCGAGGCAGGCCGGCAAGGACAGGGCCGCGACGGCAGGGACTGCGGCGTCTCGGCTGCGGCGGCTTGGCGGCTCGGCGGCTCGGCGGCTCGACAGCTCGGAGGCTCGGCGGCTCGGCAGCTCGGCGGCTCGGCGGCTCGGCAGCTCGGCGGCACGGCGGCAAGGGCGGCTCGGCGGCTCGGCGGTGACGGCAGCTCGGCTGCTCGACGGGGCCGGGAAGGGCGGCTGGGCCGCGAAGGGCAGCGACGGGGCCGCAAGGGGCGGCAACGAGGCCGCTTAAGGGGCGGCGACAGGGCCGTAAGGGGCGGTCGCGGGGCCGTGAGGGGCGGCGACGGGGCCGTAAGGGGCGGTCGCGGGGCCGTGAGGGGCGGCGACGGGGCCGTTAGGGGCGGTCGCGGGGCTGTAAGAGGCAGTCGCGGGGCCGTAAGGGGCGGCGACGGGGCCGCTAAGGGGCCACGCGGGGCCTAAAGAGGGCAGCGACGGGGCCTGAGGGGCCGCTAAGAAGGGCGCGACGGGTCGCTAAGGGCGGGACACTAGGCGCGCTTCGGGCAGGGGCGGCACGCGCCCCGGGTAGGAAAAAAAAATCTTAGTGGGCCCTAGGAACAGTTCCCACGAGGGAACCTGCTCGATACCATGAGAAACTTAGAACGAGAATGGATTGACTAAGGAATGAAAGTGATACAAATATGAAACCCTAGAATTGTGTAGCCCTTAGTATCTAACCCGCTACACCCTACACAGGCTAGATCATATAAGTTTGACAATTATCACCACGGCCGATGCTCTGCACATCACCGATGGTCAGCCAATCATACAACTACTTATTGATTTTCATAAATTTGTGAGTGCACTACCGCGCATTTGTTGTCGCCATTGCTGTACCGTTACAGTTACTAAACCAGCAGTTGTAACTCGCGCATATGATTCACCTGTCTAGGTGTTATGTTGAATGTCAATGGCGATGCAGAGTGCTCAACATCCGCCAGCCCAAGTTGAGCAACGATAAGACGTGGCTCTCATTGCATAGTCAGAGCTATTATTGCCTATGTTTTAAGGGGAAAGTCGATCCTCAGCTTTGAATATCTGGCTATGCCTATCTTTGGTGGGTACGTACATTGTTTGAGAGCTCTACGACCGTAAACACACCATTGGGTGATGTTGTTTTATAATTAAGACGTATGTTATGCATTGACTGATTCTTGCAAGTTTCACTTCATTTTCATTATAGTCACCAATCCTGGAGTTGTGGCTCTCCCGATCGACGCTGAAATCGCCACACAGCCAGTGTGGATGCTGTGTACGACTCCCTTGGCATCCATGCAATGGGGGGCAATGCATTCAGGAACATAACCACGTAAGATTGTCCCAACAGTTGTTTTCCGCGCGGTCTAATTCGCACATCTGTTCAATGCGGCTTGCTTCTGACCCTATCGTTGCGTAACTCATCAATCCGAGCGTGCCTGACATATACGCGCCCAACACAGCTTTCTGGGCATGGCTTTTGAGAAGGAGCGTGGAAGCGCGGAATTGAAGAGATGAAAACTAGGCTGGGGAGATTCAAGCCGCACATCATGGAGGTGTGTAAAACCATAGCTCTCTGGCTTTCCATGCTTTTTTATGTGCATGGTGTCTGTCATGTGCACGGTTCTGCCACGTGCGTGGTGCAACCCTGTGCATGGTGCTGCCTGTCAGAATATTATCTTATTGTTCTAGCCTGTAGTGGGGTGCTCTATAGCGAGTACAACCCTTCTAGGGTTTGCTATTTGTATCCTCATTCTTGCTAGTTCAATCCTCTTTCTTTCTTCTAACTTTTGACATGCTATCAGAGCAGGTCGATCCCCTTGGATCGATCCTGTGGGTGGGTTACCACCTCGCTTCCGCTGCTACTTTTTCCTCACGCCGTGCGCCCCGAGGCGCGCGGCGGTTTTCTGCCCGCCGTGCGCCCCGAGGCGCGCGGCGGTTCATTGCCCGCTGTGCGCCCCAAGGCGCGCGGCGGGCTTCTCCCCTACGTCGCGGCCCCGCCCCGATCGTCGCGGCCCCGCCCCTTGACGCGGCCCCGCTCTACGTCGCGGCCCCGCCCCGGCCCGTCGCCGCCCGTGCGCCTGCCCGGCTCGGCCCCGCCCTTCGTCGCGGCCCCGCCCCGGCCCGTCGCCGCCCGTGCGCCTGCCCGGCTCGGCCCCGCCCTTCGTCGCGGCCCCGCCCCGGCCCGTCGCCGCCCGTGCGCCTGCCCGGCTCGGCCCCGCCCTTCGTCGCGGCCCCGCCCCGGCCCGTCGCCGCCCGTGCGCCTGCCCGGCTCGGCCCCGCCCTACCTTCGCGGCCCCGCCCCGGCCCGTCGCCGCCCGTGCGCCTGCCCGGCTCGGCCCCGCCCTACCTTCGCGGCCCCGCCCAACGTTGCGGCCCCGCCCTATGTCGCGGCCCCGCCCTACGTCGCGGCCCCGCCCTATGTCGCGGCCCCGCCCCGACCGTCGCGGCCCCGCCCCTCGTCGCGGCCCCGGCCCCGTCCCCCCCCCTTTTCTCCCCTCCCCCCCAATTCCCGTCGTCCGTGGGGTGGCAGGTATGGGGGTGGCCAGTGTACTTTCCTCCCTTTGCTCCTCCTCCTCCTTCGTCTCCCACTGCTGCAGCTGTCGCTGAGGGGGGTGGTTGTGTGGGAGACTGGGTTTAGGGTTTTAGGGGGGTGCGTGGGAGTAGAGCTAGTGGTGTAACAGTGGGTGTGTATCAGGGGGGTGGGACTGTGTGCGGGAGGATGAGCGGAGGTTGCCAGTTTGTCGTCAGCAGCACCTGTAGTCCGGGGCGCTGTCCCGGTAGCCCAGTCGTAGCCAGCTGTGCCAGCCGCCCGTGGGTCCGTTGCCCGTCCGCCGCTATTTGAGCCGCGGGGCCTGTTACTCCTGTAGTCCGGGCGCTGTCCGGTAGCCGCTGTGCCAGTCTGCCTCCTGTTGCCCGTGTGTCTGCAGCTTCAGCCGTCGCCTCCTGTCTCCTCTCCCCTCACTCTCCCTCCTCCTCCTCACTTGCCCGTTGTGACTACCACTAGCTTTGCTTATAATTGTGAACTCTAAACTATTTCTTCTTGAACTTGTGCTCAGAATGTGTGGTGACATTGTGATCCACCCTGAGCTTGTTTTGCTTTGCCTGCTCTGCTGATTACACCCCACTTTGGCTATGGGGGTGTGTCAGAATATTATCTTATTGTTCTAGCCTGTAGTGGGGTGCTCTATAGCGAGTACAACCCTTCTAGGGTTTGCTATTTGTATCCTCATTCTTGCTAGTTCAATCCTCTTTCTTTCTTCTAACTTTTGACACTGCCCTGTGCATGGTGCTGCCCTGTGCATGGTGCTGCTCTGTGCATGGGGCTTCCCTTGTTTATTGTGCTGCCATGTTCATCGTCCTGCCTTATGCAAGGTGCTACCATATGCATGGTGCTGCCATGTGCATTGTGCTCCCCTGTACGTGCATGGTGCTTCCCTTGTTCATTGTGCTGCCATGTTCATGGTGTTGCTCTATTCATGGTGCTTCCCAATGCATGGTGCCCCCCCTGTGCATGGTGCTTCCCTTGTGCAAGGTGCTGCCATGTGCTTGGTGCTCCTCTGTGCGTGATGAGGATGTGAGCCCGTACAATCTAGATACCACCCTAAGGATGAGTCACAAATGCAACACCGGATGAGGGTCGGGATCAAACACCGAAATCGTGAGCATCGATCGCCATAGCCAGTTTTCAACTTGCATTGATACGATCGCCCTAGAGGTTCCCATTTTGTCGGAGATTTTAACGTTTATGAGGATTGTAAATTCTTGAAGAGGGATTTCAGTGTGGTGTCGGCTCAATATTGGACAATCTTATTGTGACTTGAGTTTACATGAAATCTAACGAAAAAGGGATACCCTACCGTTCGCCACTTTGCGAAGATGCTGTAGACTCACACATCGATCCCTTGCAGGATTGATGTTTCATGTGACACGTCCTAAACCCATTGTACTTGTTGTGAGTACTCATTTGTTTTTGCATCAATGTAATGCTTCTGCAGCAAATGAACGCCACGTGCGCACTGTCAAAACATATTTCTATGTTGTTAGTTTTGCTAGGCTATAGTGAGATGCTCAGTATAGAGTACAACCCCAGTTAGGCTTTACTACTTGTATCTCACTCTTGCCACAGTCCAATCATTTCCTGTTTTCAAATCTCAACATGGTATTAGAGCATGATCGTGTCAGAATCCCAACCACTAGACCATTGGGATGAAATGGCTTATTAAGTAGCGGGTCAGTGCGTCCATAACCCCCCCAGGCCAACGTGCCTGTAACCCTTCCCTAAGATCAATCGGGGATCTCCAGTGGACCTCTGACAGATCGTTCATAGGGCCCACCGAACGTTCCACCCTGCCCTGCCCGTAAAATGTTTCTGCCCTGCCCTGCAGCCCGCAAGCCGCGCTGCCCTCCCCTTAGGCCCACGCACAGCCTTGCGCTGCAGCCCGCGCGGTGCACTGCCCTGCCCGTAAGCCCGCGTGCCGCCCTGCCTTAGGCCCGCGCGCCGCCCTGCCCTTAGGCCCGCGCGCCGCCATGCCCTGCAGCCCGCGCTCGCCTCTGCAGCCCGCGCTCGCCACTGCAGCCCGCGCTCGCCCCTGCAGCCGCGCTCGCCCCTGCAGCCTGTGCTCGCCCATGCAGCTGCGCTCGCCCCTGAAGCCTGCGCTCGCCCCTGCAGCCGTGCTCGCCACTACAGCCCGCGCTCGCCCCTGCATCCGCGCTCGCCCCTGCAGCCTGTGCTCGCCCATGCAGCTGCGTTCGCCCCTGCAGCCCGTGCCCGCCCCTGCAGCCGCGCTCGCCCTTGCAGCCCGCGCTTGCCCCTGCCGCCGTGCTCGCCCCTGTAGCCCGCGCTCGCCCCTGCAGCCGCGCTCGCCCCTGCAGCCCGCGCTCGTCCCTGCAGCCGCGCTTGCCCCTGCAGCCGGCGCTCGCCCCTGTAGCCCGCGCTCGCCCCTGCAGCCGCGCTCGCCCCTGCAGCCCGTGCTGACCTACCGCTCATGCTAACCTACCGCCCGCGTGCCTGCGCTGCCCGCGCACTGCTGTTAGCTCGTGCCCTGCTACCCACGCACAACCACTCCAACAGTCACTACTGCTGTTACAGCCACAGCGACCACCGCTACTGCTCCAACTGCAGCTACAGCAGTCGCTACTACCGCCCTTGCACCGCTGCTACTAACTGCCTCTGCTTGTCATGGCCACTATCGCGGTCGTAGCAGCGTCTAGGGGTGGACAACAGCAGCCACTGCCTTATCCGGACAGTCTATCACCCCAGCAGTTTTGCGAGTGGGTTATTCAGCGAGGCTGTCCTGGTGGTGGAGGTTATCGGGCAGGAGGTGCTGGAGGTGCTGAACAACAGCGGCAGCCTGGGTCCAGTCTGTACACACTGACCACTACGTCTGCCCAGGTGCCTGCGTCAGGCTAGGTGGCTGCGTCAAGTCAAGTATCTATGTCTGTTCAGCTTGCAACGTCTTGCTCGTGTCGGGTACTTTCCCACTAGACTCTCCTCTGGCACCACCGAATCGGTCACCCCTCTCTACCGCGTCTGCGCAGCATGCACTCCCGTCTCCTTGTCTCTAGCCTTCCCAAGTCTCTGCCCCCCTTCCAGTGCTCGCCCGCCCCACCGTGCCTTCCCTGCATCGAGGGGCGGCAGCTCGCCGCTGCTCACTCCTCCTCGTTTCCTCCGACCACTGCTCCTCTGCAGACTCTCCACATGGATGTGTGGGGCCCCACTTGCATCAGTGGGATGGACCAGGAGCGCTACTTCCTGCTGGTCGTTGACGACTACACACGCTACACCACTATCTTCCCCTTGCGCGGCAAGGCGGATGTCAGCAGTGTTTTGATCCCTTGGATCCGTGCTACTCGTCACCAGCTGCGCGAGCGCTTCCGGCGGGACCTTCCAGTCCTGCGTCTGCACTCAGACATGAGCGGTGAGTTCTCTTTAAGCCTCCTTGCAGAGTTCTGTCTAGCCGAGGGCATCGTCCAGTCGTTCACGCTTCCGGCCTCTCCGCAGCAAAATGGGATTGCTGGGCGTCGCATTGGCTTGATCATGGATGTTGCTCGTACCTCCATGATCCATGCGACTGCTCCCCATTTTCTATGGCCTTTTGCGATCCGATGAGCCGCGCATCAGCTCAACCTTTGGCCCCGTGTCTCTTTGCCAGAAACCTCGCCCACACTCCGTTGGACGGGAGAGGTTGGCGATGCGTCGGCGTTTCGGGTCTGGGGCGCGCTCTCCCTTGTTCGCGATACCACCGCGAGCAAGCTCTCTCCTCACACTCTCCGCTGCACCTTCCTGAGGTTCCCCAGCGAAGCCCCGCCGTGGCAGTTTTACCACCCTCGCTCGTGTCGCGTCTTCTCCTCCCAGGACGTCACCTTTGACAAGTCGGTCTGTTTCTACAGGCTACACCTGCAAGCGTCCCACCCGGTCCCCCTGGCGCCTCTCTTCCTGGTACCAGTTCCTCTCCCCCCCCGGTAGATCCCCTCCCCCCACATGGTTCTGCTCCCTCAGGTGTCTCTCAGGTAGACCCACCCCCCTTGGTTGAGCCTTTGGTGATCTCCTCTGACACCTCTGGCCTAGCTGAGGGGGGTGACCCCGCTGTTGACGACATAGTGACCACTCGTCACTCTCCACGCTTGGAGACCCCTCCTGGTTTTCCGCCTCGACCGTCACCGCCTCTGCAGCCCGTAGCTATGGACACTGGTGCTACTGCGGGTGGTGACACTGGAGGTGAGGACGCAGGAGGTTCTGATCCTGGGGGTGCTGAGACTCGGGGTGCTAGTCTTGGGGGTGCTGAGACTGGGGGTGAGGGTTTTGGGGGTGCTAACTCTGGGGGTGCTGACTCTGGGGGTGCTGCGAGTCCTAGTGGTGGTGGGGCTGTGGGTGCTCCTACTGCAGGTCCTGGCGTTGGACAGCAGCGGCAGCCTAGTCGACTCGAGACGCCCTCACCGCAGCAGCTTCGTGAGTGGGTCGTTCGGCGAGGCCGCTCTGTTTCTAGAGCTTGAAGTTTTACACCTCCTCAAGCTGCTGATCCTGGAGGTGCTGGAGCTGCCGGAGATGGAGGTGCTGGTACTGCTGGCACTGGAGGTGCTAGAGCTGGAGGTACTGGAGTTGTTGGTGCTGCTGGTGCTGGAGGTACTGGAGGTACTAGAGGTGCTGGAGCTACTGGTCTCGGAGGTGCTCGTATTAGAGGTGCTGGAGATGCTGGAGCAGGTGGTGCTGCTAGTGCTGGAGGTGCTGGAGGTGCTACTGGTGCTGCTGGCACTGGAGGTACTGGAGGTACTGCTGGTGCTGGAGGCGCTAGAGCTGGAGGTGTTGGAGGTATTGGAGGTGCTGGAGCTGCTGGTTTTGGAGGTGCTCGTACTAGAGGTGCTGGAGCTGCCAGAGCAGGTGGTGCTGGAGGTGTTGGAGGTGCTACTAGAGCTGCTGGTGCTGGAGTGCTGGTGCTGTTGGTACTAGAGGAGCTGGAGTGCTGGTGCTGTTGGTACAGATACTGCCCCGCGCAGACCATTTTCTACCCGCAGCCGCAGTCGTCCCTGCCGCCGCCTGACTCGATCCTTCGCCAGGTTCTTAGTCTCTCGTCTTCCACTGGCCTTACTCCACCTCTCCTATGTCCACCGACAGCCCAGAAACTCAAATTATGGCACTTTTTCCTTCCTCTGTTCCACAGCGTGTTCCCCTACCATCTCCTCCTACGTCCTCTCTTCCTGACGGTCCTGACCCTGCGTCCGACCTTGCTCGTGCTGCCAGCCCTACTGTCACGCGTCTCCTCGCTACTGTCATCACTAACCATGCCTTTGAGTCTACTGCTGCGTTTGCCCTATTAACTCAGCTAGTCGACTTTGCTGCTAGACATCGTCTTTACTACGTCGCGAGTCTTGTTACTGAGCCTGAGTTTGACTGTCCTCCGTCCCTTGGGGGTGAGCTTGTCCTTGGCAGTGACGTCCTTGAGGACAGGAAGTTCGAGCTTGAGTGTCTTGCGGCCACTTTACCTTGTTTCGCATCCATGCTGATTTGCCTTGAGGGAGACCCGGATGCACCTGACATCCCTACCCCGCGCTGTTACGCTAAGGGGATCGCGGGTGAGTACTCCTCTCAGTGGCAGACAGCCATGGACGCAGAGATGGCTTCCTTGAAGTCCACAGGCACCTACGTCGATGAGGTTCTTCCTCCTGGGGCGAACATAGTTGATGGCATGTGGATTTTCAGAGTGAAGCGGCCGCCGGATTCTCCGCCTGCCTTCAAGGCGCATTACGTTGCTCGAGGCTCCAGTCAGCGATAGGGGGTCGACTTCTTCCAGAACTTCTCCCCCACCCCGAAGATGACTACTCTTCGGGTGCTGCTGCACGTTGCAGCACAGCGTGACTACGAGCTGCACTCCCTCGACTTCTCCACAGCTTTCTTGTAGGGCAGCCTTCACGAGGAGACCTGGTTGCGCCGCCCACCTGGCTTCACTCGGTCGTTTCCTGCAGGTACCGAGTGGAGCCTCCAGCAGCCAGTCAACGGTCTCCGCTAGGCGCTTCGCGATTGGCACGACACACTGAGGACGACAATTCCGGCTCTTGGGTTTGCTCCTTCCTCTGCTGACCTGTCGCTGATTCTATGCACCAACACTTCTCGGCCGCCATTCTACGTTCTCGCGTGCGTCGACGAATTGGTTTTTGCTACTGCTGATACTGAGGCGATGGCCCTACTGAAGGCGGAGCTGCAGGAGAGATACACTTGCACTGACTTGCAGATCACCCAGGACAGAGCACGGCGCACCATCACCCTGACTCAGTCACACATGGTGCACCAGGTCCTTCAGCCCTTCGGCTTCCAATACTCATCGTCACAGCCCACTCCTCAGCCTACTAACCACTTGCTCTCAGCTCCACCTTCTCACGAGTCCGTAGAGTCGAGTGGTCCGTATCCAGAGCTTGTGGGTTGCCTCATGTACCTGATGACGTACATACGACCTGACCTTGCATACCCTCTCATCCTCCTGGCTCGCTACGTGGCTCCCGGTAGACACCGAAAGGTGCACTGGGATGCTGCGAAGAGGGTACTGCGTTTCTTGTGCAGTACATCAGGAATGGGCCTCGTGCTTGGAGGACGGGGTTCAGTGGTACTCGCAGGACACTCAGACGCTTCTTGGGCCGACGACCAAGCGACTCAGCGTTCGTCCTAGGGTTACACCTTCATTCTTGGCTCTGGTCCTATCTCGTGGAGGTCCACTCGTTCTTCTTCTGTGCTTGGTTCCAGCTGTGAGGCCGATATCTACGCTGGCTGACCTACGTGCTGACCGACTTTGGGGGAGCGGCCTCGTTCTCCTCTAGATCTGTACATCGACAACAAGGTCATGTTTGCCTTGTGTCATGAGCAGAGACTGGAGCACAGAATGAAGCACATTGCTTTCGCTACTTTCTTGCTTGAGAGCTGCAGCAGCGTGGTCAGCTTCGCCTTTCCTTTGTGGACTCTCGGGCCAACACTGCTGATTTCTTCACCAAGGCCATCGGGTCTGGTGATCATCAGCGTTTGTCTCTTGGGCTTCTGCACACTCTTCCTCACCTTCTTGTCTCTTGATCTTGCACTTGTTGTACCGTATCACCCCGGATATAAGCGCAGGTGCGCCTGTTATAAAACAGGGTTTTTTAGGGGGGTGCGCTTATAATTGAGTCAAATTTATAAGTGCATGCACTCATGAAATGACATATACAGTTTAACATTTTTCTAACACCAAACTGTACATCTCGTGCTTGCCTTTTTAATCGAGTCGAAGTTACATTGGGTCTTCACTGAAATTCTCGCGTGCGCTGGGAGATACATTCGATGTGACTCACAAGGTGCCCATGACAACTCATGCTGACTGGACTCGTATCCAGTGCAGGGTTCGAATGTGAAGCGAAGCGAATTTGCAACACATCCGCTTGCTAAAGTAAAAATTTGTCACCGCATATGCAAGGGATGCATATGCAATAACAGTAGAGTGCGGTGCTGTGAAGTAGTATAGCAAATAGCTAAGAATGCATTGAGGTAGATAGATAAGAAGTAGTGTAGGAGGTGTAGCCAGTAGCGAAGTGTCGGTTGCAAAGGGGTGTAGAAAGGGGGAAATATGTGGGAGCGGTTGGGATGAAGGGGGAAAAGCACCGAAGGGCGAAATGTGGGATTCGAACAAATCCCAACCTCGAGCCGCACATTGGAAATGTGCAAGCCGAGGTTGGGTAAGGTCACCCACGCCCACTCACTCGATGCCTATTGTTCAGTATTCTTTCATACTAGTGCAGGGCTGTTATCCTAGCTACTACACGCGGTGGCACAGCACTAAGAAGGAACCGGTGGGGTGAGGGAGTGATCACGTTCATACTGAACAATAGGACGCGACACGCAGTCATGGATAAATATGAGCTACGTTGGGGTAGGGTGTTTAGTCGCCGGGAGGAGGAACGAGCACGAGGTGAGCCGTCACGCGAGCGCGGGCGATCTCTGGAGCGCTCGCCGCGAAGGCCGGCATTTCGCGCAGATAGAGTCCCCGTCGCTGGGGACCGACGGGCGGAAGGGAGGCCTAGCGTGGCAGCGGGTGGAGAAGGATACGCCGCAAGCGCGGACGGAGACGTGTGGCGAAGAGGGCATGATCGCGGAGATGGATACGGGAGCGGAGACCGACGCGCTGTGGGAGTGTTCCGCTCGCCGGAAGAGCGCAGCGCCGCCGTGATGAGAGGGGCCGTTGGCAGGGCGTCGAGCGATTCGACGCCAACCAAGGAGGGGAGGCCGCAGAAAAGGAAGAAGCGTGGGAGACGTCCGGCGAGGAAGAGGCAGAGGAGGACGCAGCGAACCTGGAACGGGCGGTCGAAGACGCCAACGGAGAAGATGACGGCGAGGAACCCGCGGCTGGGATCGGAAGCGCCGAGCCTGAAGAGGCGGACGTTGCCGGGGGCGCAAGCCAGGCAGGGGCGGAAGGATCGCGGTCGGGACGGTCGGAATCACGCGGCCGCGACGCAAGCCGCCAGGAGGAGCATTACGCGGAGAGGTCGCGTCAGCAGGAGCGGTGGGACTGGGGCGTGCATGCCGGCGCTGTGGGGACGCAAGGAGAACGCGGCAAAAGGGAGGAAGAGGGACCGCGCGCGTCAGGGGAAGGATCGCGGCGCTGGGAGCGGCCTTCTGTTAACCCTCGCGCACTCGACTGGCGCCAGGCACAAGGGGGCTGGGGCGAAGACGGCGCACGATCGCCGGACAGGCAGCTGATGCACAAGGGAGGATGGGAGGGCAAGCCACGTGCAGCCAGCCACCACTGGCGGCGGGAAGAAGGACGCGAGGAGGGGCCCAGCTCATCAGAGAGGCGCGGCCAGCGGCAAGAGGGGCGCGGCGGGGAGGCAAGGACGTCTGGCCCGCAAGCGCAATGGGAGAGGAGGGTGAGCGGCGGATTCCGCTCGCCTCTCGTCCGGCAGCAGCGGGGAAGAGAAGGCGGCGAAGACAGGCGCTCGCCCGAAGATCGTCGGCAGCAAGGAAGGGGAGAAGCATGGGAACCGTCGCCAGAGAGGCAGCGGCAGCGAGAGACGAGCACGGCGAGGTGGAGAGAGACACGAGTCTCGCCGGCACGAACGCGAGGGCGTGCAGGGGAGGAGAGGGGCCCGAGAGAAAGGCACGGTGACTCGGGCTGGAACCGGCGGGAGAGCAGAGCTGGAGGGGGGAGCTTAGCATATGGCGCTGAGCGGGCCCGAGAGGCCAGGGAAGGCATGGAGAGGGCCAAGGAGAGAAGGACTGGGGAAGAGCGGCTGGGAGGGGCCAGGGAATCGTGGGGAGAAGGGCGGGGAAGTACAGCCAGCGCGACGCGGGTGGAAGTGCCGGCGAGGTTCTTGGGGGACCAACGGGTGGGGCCGGCCCTCAAGAATTACTTGATGCAGATGGGGAACGTGAGATACCGCTGTGACAGGCAAGGCATGGACCCAGTAGACTTCTTCTTGAGCCTGCCCAACACACTGGAGGGAGAGGCGGAGACCCTGTACCGCATGAGGATGGACGAGCTGCTGTGGAGGGCAGGGAGGTACGGGGAGGATCCCACCGAGGCATTTCTGGAGCGGCTTCAGCGTCAATTCCCGGGACACACGGCGGAGCGCATAAGGGAGTTTCAGGAGTTCAGGAGGGGACGAACAGAATCCCTACTGACCTACTACAACCGACTGATAAACTTGGCGGAGGATGTGAAATGTTCGGACAGCAGCCTCCTCATCAGTAAGTTTCTTGGAGGCCTGGACGAAACACTGGGGGGGGGACTGAGGATGAGGGTGTACGAGGTGGGGGCGGATGCGGCACTAGAGGAGGTGTTTGACCTGGCGGAAAGGGTGGAGCTGGCACAAAGGAGGTATGAGGCCTACCTGCCGAGGCCGACAGAGAGGAGCCGCAGACCGACATGGGCGGCGGCTATGATACCAGAGGAGCGAGGGAGGGTGGACCCACACGGGGAAGAGAGAGCCGACGCGCGCACCTGCTACCGATGTGGACAGATGGGGCACCTCCGCAGAGAGTGCAAAAACTGTGATGGATGTGGGAAGCCTGGGCACCGGAAACGAGAATGTCCGGATGCGGCGAAGTGTGAAATCTGCGGGAAGAAGGGGCACGAGGCCAAGGAGTGTTACCAGCGGGAGGGAGGGGCAAGGAGGAAACCAGAGGAGCTGCAGCGGCAGATCAGCAGGCTGCAGTCTCAACTGCAGGCCATGGGGTCAGGGTGGGGAGCGGAGGCGGGGATGTACGCTAGGGACGAGGAGGGAGAAGGGGTGGAGCCGGACGTGCAGTGTGCCCTCATGGCCTGGAGAGGCAGGGAACAGATGGGGCTGCGTAGCGGGGGGAAGGATGGCAGGCAGGAGCATAGCCGGAAGCCACGTGAGCAGGGGTCCAGGCCGGACGCGCCAGGAGGAGAGAAGACCCCAGCCCGCCACCCGCAGGAAAGACTCGCGTGCTAGACCTCGGTGCTGCTCATGGAAGCAGGAGCGGTGGAAGTGGGGGGGATGAAGGTAAAGACGGCGATCATTGACACAGGAGCACAGAGCGTGATGCTGGGTAAGGGGATGGCCGAACGGTTGGGGCTGATGGCCCCTGAGAGGCACGTGGCGAAGGGGATGTTAGTCATGACAGCAGAGGGAGGGGAACCAAAGTGGATGCCGTGCACACGGACCCCCATAGAGTTGACACTGCTGCCAGGAGGGGAGCATGAAACAAGGATCAGGATGAAGTGTGGAATCTCGGAGTCCGAGGACTTTGATCTGCTGATGGGGACGGAATTGGTGTTCGCTGTAGGCATGAGCATATGTACCTGGATGGAGAAGGTGGAGTTCCGAACGAGATACTGGAAGGAGGGACCATTGGGGCAGCTGCCAGTGCAGTTTGTAAGGGTGGAGCCGAAGCGGGCCTATCAGGTCGGAGCAGGAGGGGCACAAAGGGGGCAGAGAGGAGCAGCAGAGACCAAGGAGGGGCCCAGGATGAAACTGATGGACAAGCCGGGGCAGCATAGCGATTGGCAGCAGCCCATCCGGCTAGTAGAGTTGTTCGGAGGAATCGGGGCAGGGCTGGCGGCAGCAGTGAGGAGTGGGATTGCAGTGCAGCAGTGGGTCTATGTGGAACTGGCACCACAGGTGAGAAGGATGGCTGAGCATCACGCGCGGAAGCTGAGAGCTGAGTTCCCGGACCTCCTGAGTGAGAAAGTAATTCAGGAAGCCATGAGCAGTACGGTGCACGATGTGAGTCAGATCACAGAGGAGCAGGTGGCCAGCTGGGGGCAGGTGGACCTGCTGGTGGCGGGATGGGAGTGTCAAGGGGTGTCATGGGCAGGAAAAGGGAAGGAAGGGGAAGACCCGAGGACGAAGCTCATGGACGACCTGTTCAATATCCTGGAGTGGCTGCAGGAGAGGCAGGGCAGAGTGGCTTACTTGCTAGAGAATCTGGATCTAGAAGGGGATTGTAGAGAGCCGATTCGGCTGGTGAGGGAGAGGATTGGCCGGCACGTGGGAAAAGGGATGAGCTGTGATGCAGCCAGGGCAGGGTCGTACGCTCACCGCCTCAGGATGTACTGGCAAAACGTGGTTCCCGTGCTGGATCTGCAGGAGGAAGCAGAGGGGATGAGGAGGGCTACAGGGAGGAGGGTGGTGGAGATCCTGGAGCCGGGACGGACTCCCGCGCCAGTTTGTCAAAGAAGTTACAGCAGGCACTACCCGTGCAACCAGGTGGGGGAGGACAGGAGGGCTCTGCCCACCTTGGTCGCTTTTGCAGAGGCAGCAGGCTACAGGTGGGAAAAGGGGGAGCCCGGACCCGGGCTGATATATGACCACAAGCGGGGACGGTGGGAGGAACCGACGGCATTAGAGAGGGAGCTGGCTATGGGATATGGAGAAAACGTGACGGCAGCACCAGGGGTGAGCGAGGAAGACAGGAGGAGGGCAATGGGGAATGCCATGGATGGCTACATGATGAGGTGGCTGGTGCAGAGGATGTGGCGAGAGATGGTCTTGGGTGGGGGGCAAGAGGCAGATAAGGTGGCGGCAGCAGCAGCCCCACAAGGAGCATGGACCTGCCAGGAGGAGGAGGGAGAGAAGTGGACAGTGGGGGAAGCGATGAGTGAAGAGGGAAGGGAAGCTATGCTGGGACTGCTGGCCAAGCATAGGAAGTGCTTTGCCTTCACACTGCAAGAACTGGGAAGGTGCAAAATGAAGGAGATGGAGCTGAAACTGAGCAGCACAGAGCCGGTGTTCCAACGGTGTAGGAAGATGCCGCACGGAGATGAAGAGATATGCAAGGAGAAGATTAAGGAGCTGCTAGCGGTCGGACTGATCCGGCGCTCAGAATCAGAATACGCCACACCAACAGTGGTGGCAGCGAGGAAGGACTTAACAGGGGAGATCCTGAGCAGGAGGATGTGCGGAGATTACCGAGCGCTCAACAAGATTACCGTGGCGGACAGGTACCCAATGCCGATGGCGGAGGAGATATTTGACAAGTTAGCAGAGGGGGTGTTCTTCACGACGCTGGACCTGCGGCAGGGGTTCAATCAGATAAAAATCAGGGAGGAGGACGTTAGGAAGACGGCATTTCACGGGCCGGATGGGCTGTACGAGTGGCTTTACATGCCATTCGGGCTGAGGAACGCATCAGCAGTGTTTCAGAGAGTCATGGATGCAGTGCTGAGGGACGTAGAATGTGCAGCGTGCTACATAGATGACGTGGTGATCTTCAGCACCTCCGAACAGCAGCACCTGCAGGATGTGGAGAAGACACTGGCAGCAATAGAAGCAACGGGACTCACGTGTCACCCGAAGAAGTGTAGGTGGGGTGAGCAGACCGTTCAGTATCTGGGCTACGAGGTGACAGGGGGGCAGATCGGGATCCAGCAAGCAAAGGTGGAGGTGCTGGATAGGCTGCGAGAACCAAAGGACAAGACAGGGCTGAGAGCGGTGTTGGGGTTTCTGAGTTACTACCGGCGATTTGTGCCCAACTTCAGCAGGCGGGCAGCGGTGTTGAGCGGACTGTTAAGGGAGGACAAGACATGGGAGCGGGGGGAAGCGCAGAAGGGGGCATTGCAGGACCTGATGGCGGCGGTGAAAACAGCAACCGTCTTGCAGCTGCCAGCAGCGGACCAACCCTTCACCCTCTACACCGACTGGAGCAGCCAAGGGATGGGCGGGATACTCTGCCAGGAGGTGGAAGGGGATGAGAAGGTGGTGGCCTACGCGAGTAGGAGCTGCAACTCGGCGGAGGCACAGTACAGCTCGTACACAGGGGAGGGACTGGCGGCAGTATGGGCTGTGGGGCACTTCAGGGTCTACTTGCAGGGGCGGGAGTTCACCCTGGTGACGGACCACCAGCCACTGACATGGCTGATGACTACACCAGGGTTAACAGGCAGAAATGCACGATGGGCAATGAAGCTGCAGGAGTATGACTTCAAAATCAAGCACAGGCCAGGAAAAACCTTGCAGCATGTGGACGGCCTCTCCCGTAACCCCCTACCGCTAGAGCCAACAGTGACCCTTGCGCTGCTGGCCAGACAGGTGGAGCTGAGCGGGGCCAGGAGGAGCAAGGGGCCGGCTGATATCTGGGAGGATGAGCAGGCTGTGAGATGGGTGAAGGGAGAGACAGGGGCAGACGAGGAGATGAGCGAGAGGGTGAGAGCAAGGGGGCACCACTACAGGTGGTACCAGCAGCAGTTGCAGATACAGACCGAGGGTGGGTGGAAGCTGGTGCCGGCCCCAGGTGACAGGGAAGCAGTGATAAAGGAGGTGCACTCAAAGCTGGGGCACTTCGGGCATGAGAGGACAGTGCAGTTGTTGAAGACGGGCTGGTGGTGGGAGGGAATGCGCAGGCAGGTGCAGAAGTGGGTGGAGGGATGTGAGGCCTGCCAAAGGAGCCGAGCAAACCTGACCCAAGCCAAGGCCGAGCTGCAGTCCCTGCCCATCCGCGGGTTAGGCTTCAGATGGTCCTTGGACCTGGCGGGGGAACTGCCGCTGAGCCGGGGGGGGAAACGGTACATAGTGCTCATGGTGGAGCACGTGAGCAAGTGGCTGGAGGTGAGGGCTATCCCCAGCAAGAGCTCAAGACATGTGGCAGCAGCATTCAAGGAGCAAGTAATATGCAGATTTGGGGCGTGTGCAGAGGTGCTCACCGATCAAGGCACAGAGTTTCAAAGGGAGTTCAGGGAGCTGTTAGAGGAAGCG